ATCAAGTCTTTTCATAAACAAGTTTCATTTTAAAAGTAAATTTTCTCACAGAAAAATTTATTAAGTTAGATTGATGAATGCAGACCAAAAGCATTATAATAAAAAAAAGTCAATTTAGTATTTGCTGCAATTATTTAACAAAAAAACAAGCTAAAAATGATTGAATAATTGATTTTATTTACATAAATAAAATATTATAACAGCAATATCGTATGTATCATCATCATCAGTATTACAATTTAAAAGCAAATAAAGACGACGTTGTAATCCGTCTATCGAGTTGCCTAATTTATTATTTATAATAATGTTTCTTACACAAAAATTTAGTAAGTTAGATTAATGAATACAGGCCAAGATTATTAAAAGTAAAGGATATAAAAATGACAATTTCGGATTTGTTAAACAATTACTTAAAAAAGCCAAATTAGCACTGGAAAAGCTAATCAATCACAAATTTATTATTATATATAATCCTTTTCAATGAATTAATCTTTAATTAAGGTTTTGGTTGAGATAAAAAAGTCAGTATCACGAGCGGGATTCGAACCCACGACCTTCGGCTAAATACGCCGCTGCACTACCACATGAGCTATCGTGACTTCAATCCACTCGGACACTAACTTCCCGCTGGCGTCACTGACTTTTTTATCTCAAACAAAACCTTAATTAAAAATTAACTAATTGATAAGAATGTATTTGGTCAATAGAACGACAAAACCTAATAGATTATAAATAATAATAAAAATAATAAATAATACAACTTTTAATAACTCAAGAACAGTAATGCGCTTGATAGAAATTATAAAGGTGGGGTGAGTAGAATCACTTTTTTTTCTACAAACGTAGACAAAAAGCTAATGTGTTTGTTTTAAATATCCCTGAAAAGGGGTATTCTATTTTCTGGTCGTATTTACTTTATAATCTAACGAAAGGTTCTTACATGTATAAAGTACGTTTACTCTAGTGTTTTACGATTACAAAGAACAGTTGAGTGAATAGAGTGATGATGATAATGAGGGTTAATGTCGCAATGTTTTTACCATTTTGGCGAGAGTTGCTTAGCTATTAGATCACTATGACTGACATATCTATGTTTGTTCATTCCGCCTTTTTGTGTTGGCTTGTTGTGAGATTGAGGAGTATATGTTCAATTAATGTTAATTATAGGCTCTAGATTATATTTTCCGTGGTGATTAGCAAGAGACCTTAGTCTATGATTATTCAGAAATCGTGAGATGCGGTCTGGTGTGATGTAGATTTCAGAAAAACATTTTATTTATCGTGCCAACGTTTCGATCTTTATTGAGATCATCTTCAGGGCTCAAAGTGTTTGTTTTGAGAAGATGATCTCAATAAAGATCGAAACGTTGGCACGATAAAGAAAATGTTTTTCTGAAACATACACCACACCCGACCGCATCTCACGATTTCCGAATAACTATCTTTTGTAGTCTGGTCTGTTTAGACTTTAATTATAATGTATACTTGTTACATTTTTCTTACCAGTAATTTTTTTGACTAAATAACCCATGTCAGTATCCAGCGCGTGATTATTTCAACGCAAATCCATTGAATTTATTCACTTTTGTGTCGGTTATTGACGATTATGGTGTGAAAATACAGAAACAAACGCAATTCAGCTCATTCGAATATACTGCTTAAGGAGAAAAACATTTTTGTTATGAAAAGTAAACAAAAAATGATCGTTTTCAAAAATAGCTGATCATTTCATGTTAGTTCATTTGAAAAATTAATAAACTGGAAATTGAACAGAAAGTCAATTGGATTACAAATACAATGACTGATTTATATTGTACAAAATAACAACCGAAATGATCGAATTCTGACAGAAAAATTCCATCTTCAAAACAATTGATATGTTTATTAATGGAAACAGAAACACAAAAATTCATCAATTCGTTTTGAAGATTTGAATTTTTTTTAGAACTATATAATTTTAATTTATCATGTAACTGATTGTTGTTTTAAAGTCAGGCTTCAAAAATTTAATACATTAAATTTCAATATTCTATTAAATTAATTTCACTTTTTTAATGAATTTCATTGGAAATTGAAATCATAAAATTTGTAAGGAAAATTTCAATATCTTCACAACAAACAGATAAATTTATAAGAGTCCGGTATCGTTCATTTTAGAATGTAAGGTTCTTTCAAAATGTACATTCATGTACATTGTATTATATTTGAAAAAAGTGTGTGGTGATTAGTGGCCCTTAGTCTATGATTATTCGGAAATGGTGAGATGCGGTCTGGTGTGATGTAGGTTTCAGAAAAAACATTTTCTTTATCGTGGCAACGTTTCGATCTTTATTGAGTTCATCTTCAGGGCTCAAAGTGTTTGTTTTTGGCCACTCTCAACACGACACACAAGAATTGCACAATTACGCAGAAAACAAACACTTTGAGCCCTGAAGATGAACTCAATAAAGATCGAAGCGTGGCACGATAAAGAATATGTTTTTCTGAAGCCTACATCACACCAGACCGCATCTCACGATTTCCGAATAATAATTTAAAAAAAAGTTGATCACCAGCTCGGAATAACGTGCGAACGTTCCAAAATTTTAATAGCACCACCTTATTTTCTTCGTGAAACCTTTGGAACCATACTCAGTTTTAAAATAAATTTCGCAACATAAAAATAAAAACTATGCCTTTTATAAAAACTCACACGGTATACATGGGAAATCGCTATATCAATATAAATAATGAAGGTGAAATGTTATGTAGTTTAGTTTGTTTAAATGATGTTTCTTCTCACAAATAATTGAGTTGAACCATTGAACGTCTAAAGAAATCCTTCCAATCCAAAAACCACCAGAATCATAACAGAACCGTAATCAGTACTCGCAACAACTTCTACCATACAGAAATTGATCTCCAAAAAATTTCCACGTTTGACAAAAATCGTTCCTATCACTCCAGTAGCGTAGGCTAATTTTTATCTAAGATAAACCATCCTTACAACCCCAGGCTTTTGAAGTAGTCTTGAGAAAAACAATGGTTGTGGCCTTTTCAAGTCATATTATCTCTGCCCCTTGTAAAAGTTGATTTTATCATTTCATCATGTATTGAAAAACCTTATTTTTTTAGGGTTGTTTTTAACGAGGGTATTTCAACTACGAGGTTCTATGCCGGTATTTTTGTAAAAAATGAAGCCAATTTGTAAGTACTCTCAGGTTTTGCTTTCGTTGTTCGCCTATGTTTTTATTTACAATAAATAAACAAATAAACTCGTTCTCATTCTAAAATACTCATAAATTATGTAAGCTTATTTGAGTGACAATAAAGAAAAAAAATTTTAAAAGAATTTGTTTTTTGAAAAAATATAAATGCTTTTAAAAAAAGTTGATATTTATAAATAAATATTTTTACAATAAATAACCAAATGAACTCGTCCTCATTCTAAAAAAATCATAAAATATGTAAATTGCTTGGAAGGAAAATAAGTTTTAGGGTTGTTTTTAACGAGGGTATTTCAACTACGAGGTTCTATGCCGGTATTTTTGTAAAAAATGAAGCCAATAAGAAAATAAATTTTTGTAAAAGCATTTTTTTGCTCAAAAATTATAAATGCTTTAAAAAAAATTTACTATTTATATTTAAACATTTTTACAATAACCAAATGAACTCGTTCTCATTCTAAAAAAATCATAAAATATGTAAATTGCTTCGAAGGAAAATAAAGAAAATAAATTTTTGTTAACGCATTTTTTTGCTCAAAAATTATAAATGCTTTAAAAAAAAATTACTATTTATATTTAAACATTTTTACAATAACCAAACGAACTCGTTCTCATTTTAAAAAAATCATAAAATATGTAAATTGCTTGGAAGGAAAATAAAGAAAATAAATTTTTGTTAACGCATTTTTTTGCTCAAAAATTATAAATGCTTTAAAAAAAATTACTATTTATATTTAAACATTTTTACAATAACCAAATGAACTCGTTCTCATTCTAAAAATAATCATAAAATATGTAATTTGCTTGGAAGGAAAATGAAGAAAATAAATTTTTGTAAAAGCATTTTTTTGCTCAAAAATTATAAATACTTAAAAAAAATTTACTATTTATATTTAAACATTTTTACAATCACCAATTGAACTCGTTCTCATTCTAAAAATAATCACAAAATATGTTTATTTGAATGATAATAAAGAAAATAAATTTTGTTAAAATGATTTTTTTGGAAAAAATATAAATGCTTTTAAAAAAAATTAATATTTATATGTGCAAATTTTTACAATAAATAACCAAATAACTCGTTCTCATTCCAAAAAATCATAAAATATGTTAATTGCTTAGAAGTAAAATAAAGAAAATAAATTTTTGTAAAAACATTTTTTTGTTCAAAAATTATAAATGGTTTTAAAAAACAGTTACTATTTATATTTAATCATTTTAATAATAACGAATTGAACTCGTTATCATTTTAAAAATAATCATAAAATATGTTTATTTGAATGAAATTAAGAAAATAAATTTTGTTAAAAGGATTTCTTTTGAAAAAATATAAATTCTTTTAAAAAATTAATATTTATATGTGCAAATTTGTACAATAAAGAACCAAATGAACATTGTAAAAAAATCATAAAATATGCAAGTTTGTTGGAAGGAAAATAAAGAAAATAAATTTTTGTAAAAGCAGTTTTTTTCTCAAAAATTATAAATGCTTAGTATGGGAACGAGTTCACTTGGTTTTTTATTGTAAAAATATAGGCGAACAACGAAAGCAATTCTCAAGCTTAACAAAACATTCTTACAGAAATATTTTTCAATTAAATGTATCTATTAAAAAATCAGTATGTAATGCATGTTCCTTTATCATACACGCATACGCGCGCGTACACACACACACACACACACACACACAGACACACACACTCACACACACACACACACACACACAATTAGAGGTAAGTGAAAGTAATAAAGGTAGATACTGAAAGGTAGTAAATTAGGTAAATTAATTTTTACCTCCAAGTTGCAATTCCCCGGATGCCTGTGCTGTATCGCCTTCTGCTCTTCTCGCGATGCATTGATACATCCCTTGATCTTCTCTCGTTATTCCGTCCAAAACGAGCAGTTCACCGTTGCTTCTTCCTGGGAGGACCCTTCCGTTTTTATACCTGAAAACAAAGAGTCGTTTATTTTCGACTAGGTAGGTTTTTTACTCCATTCCCTTTCACGGGGGTGATTTCAGCCTTCATGGTTTTTATATCGCGTCTATATCTGACTAGGTAGTCTTGAGCGGACGAAGGGTAGCTTTGAATTATACGGGCGAAATAAACGCGGGTAAGGCCCGTATGGAGTCATAAACTCCCTCCCTGTCCCTGACCTAAATTCACTAGGGCCCAGAGCCTCCAGATTGCTCTTTAAAAAAAGACTGACTCTTTCAAAAATCTTTTTTGTATCGTTAAAGGCAGAATTTTTATAATTCAATATGTAAAACAACTTCCAAATTTTGATTATTTCTGTGTAAGTTAAAAATTTTAATATTTTTGTTACGGTGTCCTTGCGCGTGCTTAATGGGTTAAAAGTTGCATAAATCTCGTGGCTTCATGAATATAAAGCAACACTTCAATACCTTACAATTGATTATATTGTTTGAACATTTAATGTTGTTGTGTCAATACAAGCTTGATATGTTATATTCTACCAATATTTATGAGAATATTAAAAAAAATAGCAAGGTTGATAGGTAAATCGATGAGCCTCTGTTCTTTTCATACTTTAAGGTTTGAGGCGTTAGATTATTAATATCGCCAAGCGAAGTGTGAAGAAATGCAAAATTGATGAGATTTTATCCCTTTTCTCCGCCACATGTCTTACAGGTTGTCAACCTGCCATCCATCAAAATCCTTTAACTATTCTGTATTCAAGTTTCTTTAATTTTTTCAGAATCTGCTCTATTATTACCAGTACTGTCATGTTATCCAGCGTATTATAAACAAAACAGAACGCGTTCTTACTAACAAATATTAACAGACAGATTAAGAATTAATTAGAAATCAACGGATTTTTAATATTTATTCAAATAGTTAAAAACTGCGCCATTCTATGAGCCGGAGAGACTATTTTATAATGACCGACATTGAGAAAAAATTCCAGGAAGAGTTTTCTGCGAGCCGGAGACACTATTTTTTAAATGACCAACATGAGCAAAAATTCCAGGAACAGTTTTCTGTGAGCCGGAGACACTATATTTTAAATGACCAACATTAAGAAAAAATTCCAGGAAGAGTTTTCTGTGAGCCGGAGACACTATTTTTTAAATAACCAACATTGAGCAAAAATTCCAGGTAGAGTTTTTTATGAGCGGGAGACACTCTTTTTTAATGGCCTACATTGTGCAAAAATTCCAGGAAGAGTTTTCTGTGAGCCGGAGACACTATTTTTTAAATTTCCAACATTAAGAAAAAATTCCAGGAAGAGTTTTCTGTGAGCCGGAGACACTATTTTTTAAATGACCAACATTGAGCAAAAATTCCAGGAACAGTTTTCTGTGAGCCGGAGACACTATTTTTTAATGACCAACATTGAGCAAAAATTCCAGTAACAGTTTTCTATGAGCAGGAGTCACTGTTTTTTAATGACCAACATTGAGCAAAAATTCCAGGAAGAGTTTTTTTTGTAATGAGTAGTTTCCACTCTAGCCTGCAACAGGTGAATAAAGCTATCCATATATCGAGAGAAATTGCAGCAGCTAAAACCTGATAAACTTCCGACGGACATTATCTACTTAACGTTGTAGTTAACCTTACACAATGAATATCAAATTTAGGAATTAGAAAGTTCTGTTATAATAGCTGATTGTACTGCTAGTAACACACGCCGGAGAAATTGTTTTTTTTTCTTTATAAAACAATGGTGTTGAATATTTGATTTCATAATTCTTTTTAAACTCGTTTTAGTAACATTTTACCCAACTGGAAGAACATTGCGGCACAGCATTTATTTATGTATATCTAATTTTCTAAATGAAATTTTCTTAAACGATGATTTTATCGTTTAATGGAAACCAATGATCTAACTCAGGAGCTAACCGAGGATAGCTGGATGGAATGTGGATACAAAGAACTGGAGAAGTTTCCCTGAGCACCGTAGCTCTATAAAGCTTATTGTACTACTTCCTGCCTCCAATTATGAGCTGGAGTGTGAAAAAAGCGGTGTGCCGGAGTTTAAGAAATTCATTTTCGAACGGCAATAGCTCTACCTGTTATCCGGCGATTTTTTTTAGCAATAATAACTTAATTTTAATTAAATTATATTAATAACAATTAATTACTTCATTAGTGGTTGAATGTCTTTACAGACCAACACTTCATCCATACTCACAAGTCGTGCGGGTTTAGTATTCTAAATATATTGAATAGGATGGAATCCCCTAGTGTCATTTTTATTGTTAATGTTTTACACAGATTTATGTTAACATTTACGCCTATTTACCTTATAAGTTGTTAATCGATTGTTAGTTTTAAGTTTGTAAATATGTCACTTTTAGGTTCAAATTTACCGCCTGCACCTCCATATGAATGTTGCGGTGACCAATGGAGTAGTGACTAAAAAAAATTATAACCTAATAGAGATAAAAGTGTAATTTTATTTTAAAATAAGTCTTAAAAAACTAAAAACGATTATTAATTTTATTTTTCTTTAAAAAAATGCATTACGTTTGATTTAGAAAATTGTAATTTTATTTTAGGTTAGGTCGTAACACAATATAATTTTTTTTAAATTTTACACTTATATTTTACAAACATCTATCCGAGGTATTCAAACCTCATAACATAATGAATACTGAACACGATAAATTTATATCAGATTCACTTGTGACACCTATGCCCCTAGATCTGCCACCTAAACCAATAACTCCAAAACAAGTATCACAAGAAATACGACAGCTTCCTACAAAAAAATCACCTGGTCATGATTTGATAACAGCTGAAGTTCTTCAAGAACTTTCTAAAAACGCAGTCGTCTTTTTGACTTCTTTATTTAACGCAATTCTGAGGACTACACACTTCCCTATGCAATGGAAACTTTCTTACATTAAAATGATCCCAAAGCCCCATAAAAATTTAAGCTCCCCATCATCTTATCGTCTTATTAGTTTGTTACCCGTTCCTTCTAAATTATTCAAAAAATTAATTTACAAAAGAATTATCTACATTGCTACTTCGAACAACATCTTACCAAACCATCAATTTGACTTTTGAACCCATCATTCCACCACTCATGAACTTCACAGAGTGACTGATTTCATTACTTCGTGTCTCGAGCAGAAACTGTAACGACTGGAGTATTTCTAGATGTTTCTCAGTCCTTCGACAAAGTATGGCATGAGGGATTATTATACAAATTAAAATTATTTTTACCGCAGGCCTATTATCTGATTATACAATCATACCTTAAAGACAGATTTTTCGCAGTAAACCAGGATACGGAGATTGCAGATGACACCGCCATATTAACAAGCCAACTCTCTTCTACACAAGCTTCACTCATGTTACAAAACCACATATCAACAACAGAAAAATGGAGCAATCTTTGGAAAATAAAGTTTAATCCCTGAAAGTCACAACATGTCACCTTTACACTCCGTCGTGAGACTTGTCCTAGTATATATTTATACAATGAAACTGTTCCTCAATCCGACAAACTATTTAGGACTTACATTTGATAGAAGACTAACTTGGAATTCACACACACGATTAAAAAAACCGACACTGAATAAACGATTTAAAATTCTTTATTACCTACTCAACAGACTATCAAAATTACCATTAAAATCAAAACTTTCGACATACACAGACCTACTAAAACCTATTTGGATGTACGGGTGCCAAGTATATGGATCGGCCAAGTATTCCAATATTCAAAGATTTTTGACTCCAAAATTTTAAGACTAATTGTTTCTGCCCCTTTTTATGTAAACAGTAATACACTTCACCGAGATCTTCAAATCCTAACTGTTTTTTCATCCATCAAAACATGGTACAGACGTTTTCATAGTAAATTACAAAATCACAGCAACACACAAATACGATTACTCCATTCCCCACAATTACCACGTAAACGTCTGAAAAGAATATGGATAAGAGACCTCATAAATGATTAATATAATTTCATTAATCCAGAGCGGCTGCCAATGGGTAGCTTTCTCTATAACGCCCATAATGCCAAACAGATAATCTGAAATCCAATCTGCTGGTTGTATATAATATATGTACAGTTGTAGATACAAAGTCAAAAAAATTTTTACTCTTTTCCTTTATAATTTTCCCTCCTTTTTGCCATTTTTCAAATATCGTGTAATCAGGATTCGATTCTCGGGGGCATATGAAGTAGCCACGGAGAGCTGTTAGTGAAGATACACGTAAAGAAAAGCTTTTTCATTTCGACCAATATCTTACATAAAAATATTAATTAATTGAAAGAAGTTATTTGGTCAATCGGACCACCAAATATAATGGATATAAAAATAAATTAAGTTCAATTAAAGAAATTCATAAATAAAATTAGAGTAAATAAAATATTTTCTTTTGTTTCTATTTTTGTTTTAGTCGTTTTTTATTTAATATTTGGAATATTTCATTTCTCATAAAGGAAGTATCTCATAAAAGGTGCCTCATCTATAATATATCCATAGTCAGATCCGATTAAAATGACTTCTGGGACCTTGTTTTTCGATCTTGAAAATCGAGGTTGGGCCCAAAAATTTCTTTTTGAAACCGTTATTTAAACATAGTTTTACACTTTCAGTTATTAACTTTATGAAGTGATAAGTCCCGTCTGCCATAAAGTCGTTTTACCTGTAAATTCAACAGTTCACACCGCCACAGACAATAAAGCCGAATCCACTCGAGTTTCAACAATCTGTGGAAAATGGGCAAAATTAATTATACGTTCGTCCCCGCAAATGTGAACTCTGGTAAACCGTAAGCGGAAGGATGTAATTACATCCGTCTTTCGCACTCCCTCTGTGTCTGCCGTAGAGGGTGCTCCGGGCAACAATGCATATTTTCCCGGTGCCGATTAACAATAGAAAAGGACCCGGGCCAATTTCTTTTTTCTGCCTTTCTAAAATTACCACTTACCAGGAAATTCGAGCTGAACGCTTTTCGAGATAATCACAATTCTCCGCAGATATCAGCACAAAATCAATGTAATTTCTCCAAACCTGGACCATTATGATGAAGTTAATTACACAAAACAAATTAAAATTGAAGAATGACAGATGTTTTTAAATAAAATATAATAATTGGATTAATTTGATTTTGTTTTCTAAAATTAATTTTGACACCACCCAAAAGACAAGAAAGGCAAATCTTATAAAAATTTAATCAGGTTTTATAAAAACGTATAAAAAAAACTCATTTAAATAACTTTAAACTTTTGTTAAAATCAATAATTAAATTGTGAGAACTCTTGAAACTTTGAAACATGTAGGCTATATTATGAAATGAATATCGCTTAACTGAGACACAAGTGCTGGACGTTTATTCAAATTGAACCAAGTTTATCATTTGAACTCGGTTGAAGATATATTGAAAAACGGAAATTTATAATTTGAACTCGGTTGAGTGGTAAAATGAGTTTAAACCCTGTTGGTGCAACACTTCGGCAATACTCACAAGTCTAGCGGGGTTAGTATCCTAAAAGTATCAAAGAAGATGGAATTCCCCTGGTGTTATTTTTTTATATTTTTTATTTTTTTTGTAAAAACAGATTTATGTTAGATGACTGTTAGTTTTAGTTTTGTAAATATGTCATCTTCGAATTTAAATGCACCGTCTACCCTTTCACAGGCATGTAGCGGTGCCCAATGGAGTAGGGAGTAGAAAATATAATATAATAATTTAAAAAATTATAAAAAAATTAAAAAAGTAATTTTATACTAAAATAGATTAAAATGATGAGAGACTTTTTTAAATAAAATGTATAATTAGATTTTGTTTTCTAAAATTACTTTTGACGATATTCAAAAAATAACAAAAGCAAATCTCATAAAAATGTAATCAGTTTTTAAAAAAACGTGTGAACAAAATTGTTTAAAATAATTTTTAAATTTTTTTAAATCAATAGTTAAATTGTGAGAACTTTTGAAACATATAGGCTATATTATGAAATGAATGTCACTTAACTGTGACCCGGTTAAACCCATCCTGGACGTTTGTTCAGATTGACCCTAGTTTATCATTTGATCTCGGCTGAAGATATATTGAAAAACGGAAATTTTTAAGTTGAACTCGGTTGAGTGCTAAAATGAGTTTAAACCATGTTGATGCTACACTTCGGCAATACTCACAAGTCTTGCGGGTTTAGTATCCTAAATGTATGGAGGAAGATGGAATTCCCCTGGTATTATTATTATTATTTTTTTTTTGTAAAAACATAGATTTATGTTAGATGACTGTTAGTTTTAGTTTTGTAAATATGTCATCTTCGGATTTAAATGCACCGTCTGCCTCTTCAGAGGCATGTAGCGGTGACCAATGGAATAGGGAGTAGAAAATATTATAATAGACTTATTTAAAAAAATTATAAAAAAAATTTAAAAAGTCTAATTTTATTTTAAAATAGATTAAAAGGACAGACTTTTTAAAAATAAAATGCAATAATTGGATTTTGTTTTCAAAACTTACTTTTGACTTCAAAAGATAAAAAATACAAACGACATCAAAATTTAATCAGGTTTTATAGAAAAGTGTGAACAAAAACTGATTCAAATGATTTTCAACTTTTGTTGATCAATAGTTAATATAGGCTATATAGGTAATGTAATAATTATAGGCTAAATTATGAAACGAATATCACGTCACTGTGAAGCAATTTAACCCTCCCTGTACGTTTGCGTTTAATTTTATCATTCCAACACATTGAAGATATATTGTAAAACGGAAATTTTTGAGTGGAACTCGGTTGCCTACTAAAATGAGCTTAAATAATGTTAGTGCAATGGGTCCTAAATTTCCACTTACCCCTTATTCAACAGATTAAATATGAATGTCTACAGACTGGAAGATATAGGAAACAATTATATTCAAATTTAAAAAATTAAAATTAAAATTAAAATAAAAAACAACAACGTAAAAGTACCCAAAATGGCGAGATGAAGTTAGAGTTTTTGGTCACGCTTAGTCAAGAGATGTTGGGTAATTATAATTTGGAATAATGGTTATATTTATATTTATTTGAGGGTACAAGAAGAATAACGTCTTCCCTGATAGATAATGATAGTTTAGAACGATTTGAATTATCTTAACTATTTTGATCTATGTACAATTGGATGTTTTAGATGTGTGTTTGTTTTTGTCTTGTTACAATCGTATATAAATTTCTGAGTTCACAACTTCACAGCTGTGGAAATTTTGATGGAGCAAGTGGCTAAAGAGTAAAAAAAATTAAAGCAGTGTTGGGAAAGTATTTCAGCAGGTTTAGAAAGTTGTTTCGCATTATGCGTACAATGTTTAGAGCGGAGGCTATCATAGATCTAATAGAAATAGTCAACAACAGGGAAAATCGCAACTCGCAACTCAGACGATAGCTTTGCCACCGTCAATTATAAAAGTTAACACGGTGAAGAAACTGTCTGTAGAGGGTACGCAGGATTCCTGTGAAGATTATAGTACACGATATGCAATAAAAAAATTACAACATCAAGCCATAGGCCTAATTTGCCAAGCTTTGCCCTAGTTGTGGCAAATTCGTAAAAATGTAATGTCTAAACTACATTAATAACAATTAATTATTCCATAAGGTGTTGAATGAAATATATCTTTACAAGACCAACACTTCAGCAATACTCACAAGTCTTGCGGGTTTAGTATACTTAAATTTGAAGAATAAAGTGGAATTCTTCTGGAGACATGTTTTTATTGTTTTATACAGATTTATGTTATTGACGGTTAAATTATTTTATAAGGTGTTGAATGAAATATATCTGTACAAGACCACCACTTCAGCAATACCCACAATTCTTGCGGGTTTAGTATACTTAAATATAAAGCATAAGGTGGAATTCCTCTGGTGACATGTTTTTGTTGTTTTACATAAATTTATATTAGTTGACGGTTAAATTATTTCATAAGATGTTGAATGAAATATATCTTTACAAGACCAACACTTCAGCAATACTCACAAGCCTTGCGGGTTTAGTATACTTGAATAAAAAGAATAAAGTGAAATTTTTCTGGTGAGATGTTTTTGTTGTTTTACATAGATTTCTGTTAGTTGACGGTTAAATTATTTCATAAGGTGTTGAATGAAATATATCTGTACAAGAACAACACTTCAGCAATACTCACAAGTCTTGCGGGCTTAGTACACTTAAATATAAAGAATAAGGTGGAATTCCTCTCATGATATGTTTTTGTTGTTTTACATAGATTTGTGTTTGTTGACTGTTAGCTTTAATTTTGTAAATATAAGAATAATAATTTTCACGTCAAAATAAAAATCAAATGTCAACTTGCCATGTGATCAGATGGGCTCCTGATCCGTGAGATACGGTGCACCTGAATTCCGAAGTGGCCCCGAGCCTCACCGTGGCGACTTGGGGACTTATTTCGACTGACATTTGAGTAATGACGTTGAGCCTGATTTCAGCAGTCGCTTCACCTCCTTGGTTTGAAGAGACGCACCTGTAGAGCCCGCCGTCTTCTTCAGTCACAGCCTCAATCGCCAATACGGGGCCGAGAACCCTCGTTTTCGGACCGGCGATCACGGGCACTGGCTCGTACCCGCCCGTCACATGGTACCACCTGAAACATAATTCAACATTACTTAATTTTTCAACATCATTAATTCAACGATAAAGAGACAAAACTCTTGTATGTAAATCTGCTTTGTTGTTAAACTTGGAAAACAATCGGTTTAAACCTATTACAGCTTACTTAACTAAGTTTTAAGTTTACTTTAGTTAAATAAACTTAGCATTAATAAATAATTACTAAAACCCAAACTGCTTAGTAAAACTTTAAATAGTAACTACTAGTAACTATTAGTCTTACTTCTACTTCAATATTAACCAGGATGTAAATGAATTTTCCATGATCAATATTTTAAATTTAGCCATATTTATTCTTCTCCAGGGGCCTTATGTTTCATATAGTTCAGTTTTTCAGAAAATTCGATTGCCTTTTAATGATTTAAACACGTTGTGAACATTGATTAAGGATGTGAAGTTGTAAATTTTGTTCTAAAAATCTTTCCAGACTTCATGAACATCAAAATAGGTTTATTGTTAAAAAATTCCATTATTTAAACTTTGCTTTAGACAACCTAGCACTGGGCTTAATTGAATCGCCCGAGATTAACGGCTTCGTAGCACGTAATTGACTTGACAATATGCACAATATTCGGGCAGTTTTCAAACAAAAAAGATATTAAGGTACATTAACAGTGCAAAAGCGAAAAGCACCTTGTTTTTGATAAATTTTAAAATTTTATTTAAAATCGAAAAAAAGCTTTGACAACATATGAAAATAAATTCTATTTCAAGACTATCCCAAATATGTTTAGTAAGACAGTTGTTTGGATGTTGTGCGGCTAGGTAAAATGAACCGAGGCAGACCACCTTTACGAGTTTAGCTCCAGTTCGAGTAGAAGTTGTTGGCCCATTCTCGGTCCATGTCAGCGCTGACAGCTGACAGCCGGGCCCAAGCCTCTCCTGGAAATGTTTACACCAATTTACCGACGGGGCACTTTTCCGTAAGCCACGGCTTCAACAACATGACAAACAGGCACATGTGAATTAATTTGCACGGATAAAAGAAAATAGACGTTGTTACAATACTAATTGTAAAAGTAAATTGTTTTTAAGTGGGGACGATTGTTCATTAAAACCTGAAAAGCTTTTAGCTTGAAAATCTGTCAGGCCGATGTTCGATTAAACTTAGGCTATAGAAAGCAGACAGATTAACGTTCGATTGTATTATCATCATTTAACACTTTTTTACTAAGCTTTTACCAAACGCATTTGGGATTAAAGAAGATTCTTCATATAGATGATCAGACTTAAACATTTAATTAGTGTTCGTTAAAACTTACTTTGAAACAAAATTCACAAAATTATCATTTCGAATATGTGATCTATAAAGAACAATATCAAGCGTCAACAATAATTACACAACACAATCATTAAAAATAAAATCAAATATATACGTATATATAAACTCCTGCTCAAAATTAACGCACCACCTTAATTTTTAAACAGAAATTCTTTTTAGAGAAATCCAGCTAAATCTCTTCATGTTTATTCTCTTTTTTATGCTTCACAATCCCACAAAAGTAAACAAGAATTGTTTACAATCGTGTTAATCCGCTTTGAAATGGATTTGGTAAGATACACAAGAGTTTCCTCCTGGTTTATTCCTCAGTTTCACTGCATCTGCTTAACAGACACCATTTCTTTTGGAAGTTTAAACTTTAATTTAGAACTTATGGCGCNACCATTGAAAAATCAACGTTGGTGCGTCTAATTATGTCTCGGCACATTTCATTTTGTTAGTCTCATACCAAAAAATAGGAGAATCACTTTTCGACGCACCATTCGTTACAAATTAATTTTAGTAGGTTGGAAGGAAAATAAACAAAACCAATATTATTAAAACCTTCAAACACAATGTAAAAATTAAAGAAAAAATCTTCACAAATCAATTTGATTAAGGTTTAAGAGTATTTTTTTCGTCCGATCATCGTTTTACGATAGATTAGGCTACTGCAAATGGAGGTCTGTTCGAACAATCGTTATAATGATTTTGAATATTTTTGGTTTGGTAACAAAGACGATTGTTACATTTATTTAATTTTTTTACTTTACCAGAAAAAAAACTCTTAAACCTTAATCAAATTAATTTGTGAAGAATTATTTTAAATTTTTACTTTGTAACGATGAACTAAATTATCGACCTGCTGGATACAAGAAGTCTTTTCAGAGGATCTTCGGAATAGGTCAAAACAGAGAAAACTTCCTTACCGTTTTCGCCGAGCTTTCGACAGTTTTATACTGTCATCTTCAGGGCTTTAAACCTTAATAGAGAATTAAACAACATGGTGTTTTGGGCACAGAAGTACATTATGTTTTTTGGGGCTCAGCATCTCATATAAGTTTAAAAAACCAATAAAATCCTCCTTTTTTTAGTTTTTGAGGTACATGTGATCACAGTGCGTTTCTTAAATATATAATACATATACAATTAACTTATTTTAAAATTTAAACAACAATACAGTAGGATCACAGATCAAATCAATAACCGTAAGGAAGTTTTCTCTGTTTTGACCTCTTCCAAAGATCCTCTGCAAAGACTTCTTTTTTACTTTGTGTTTTAATAATGTTTTAATAATATTGGTTTTGTTTATTTTCCTTCCAACCTAGTAAAATTAATTTGTAACGAATGGTGCGTCAAAAAGTGATTCGCATATTTTTTGGTATGTGACTAACAAAATAAAATGTACCGAGTCATAATTAGACGCACCAACATTTATTTTCCTATGTGATCCAAAAATTGACTCACTTTCTTTAATTAACGTATCAATCAAAGGAAATAAGCGTCGAGTCAGATTTAAACGCACCCACGTTGATTTTCCAATGGTGCGTCAAAAATGACTTTGATATATATACAGGGTGAATTGCTACTCGTGCTACAAACTTCTCCAGTAGATTCTTCACCCTAAAATGAACAAAAAAGTTCATATTGTCCATGGTCCGATTCTCAACCATTTCAGAGTAATTTCGCTTTTTATCGATTTTGAAAGATATCACGTCCTGGCGTCGGAAAATCGTGATATCTTTTAATCTAAACANGAGGTCACGATAGCTCAAGTGATTAAGGCAGCGGCGTATCTAGCCGAAGGTCGTGGGTTCGAATCCCGCTCGCGACACTGACTATATATATATATAATTTTCACATGCCACAAAATTACAAAATTAAACTTATCTATTCTTTGTATGTAAGGTCTTGGTTGAGATAAAAAAAGTCAGTGTCATGAGTAGGATTCGAACCCACGACCTTCGGCTAAATACACCGCTGCTCTACCACTTGAGCTATCGTGACTTCGATCTTCTCGGACACCAACTCTCCACCTCAACCTCCAACTGTTCGCATTTTGCCTCTTTTGGCATTTTCAAATGTCGTGTATTCAGGATTGGATTCTCAGCGACTTATGAAATGGCCACGGGGAGCTGTTTAAGTAAGTTATACTTCGTTTACTTATTAAATATTAATCCATTTACGTTTTAGTGGTCAATTGATCAAGTTACTTCTTTCAATTAATTATTCTTTCTATGTAAGGTCTTGGTTGAGATAAAAAGTCAGTGTGATGAGCAGGATTCGAACCCAAGACGTTCCACTAAATACGCCGCTGTTCTACCACTTGAGCTATCGTGACCTCAATCCACTCGGACACCAACTCTAAATCTCAACCTAAACTGTTCGAATTTTGCTTCTTTTTGGTACTTTCAAATGTCTTGTATTCAGGATTGGATTCTCAGTGACTTATGGAATGGTCACGGGGAGCTATTTAGTGAGGTTATACTTTGTTTACTTATTAAATATTAATCTATTTACGTTTTAGTGGTCAATTGACCAAGTTCCTTCTTTCAATTAATTATTCTTTGTATGTAAGGTCTTGGTTGACATAAAAAAGTCAGTGTCACCATAGAACCCAAGACCTTCGGCTAAATACGCCGCTGCACGACCAGTTTATCTATCGTGACTTCGATATTCTCGGACATCAACTCTACTTCTCAACCTACAACCGTTCGAATTTTGTTTCGCGATTCGAATCCCGCTCGTGACACTGACATTTTTATCTCAACCAAGACCTTACATAGAAAGAATAATTAATTGAAAGAAGTAACTTGCTCAATTACCACTAAAACGTAAAATAGATTAACCTTATCGTTATGTTTGTGGCAATATCGGGAGAGCGCTGTACCCAATTTATCTTTTCCCAGTTCTTCTTTGTGGTCTTATCCTCAATTACAACCAGCACTAATTAAAGAAAATTCCGAAACTACTAGTCGAAAAAATAATATTACGTATTTATAACTCAGTTAAATTTTGTCTGGAGAAAAATTATTCATATTTTATTATGCCGTATCACAATAAGTTCAAGGCTGGAAAAATGCAAACGCCCCGGGGTAGATTTACCCACCTTATTCACTGGATCCATCTGGTTATAACTTATTCAGATCTCTCACGCCTAACGTGGGAAATGAAAAATGTGTATGGAACACATCAAAACTTGATGCCTTGACATTATTCATCTTTATGTGGGGTAGATTACGACTTAGAACGGAATTAAAACAGGCAACTAAGGCTAGAAAAAAACATATATGTAGCATATGTATATTGGTTTTGATTCAGCTCGAAAGATTCACTTTTTCCTTGACCCATTGGTATTTTCTATACTTTCTGCAATCAACTACGTTACTTATTGTACGGTGCAATATTGATCGACAACATTCATTCCGAGTTAGGGGAGTGAGTAAAAAAAAGGCAAATACTATGACTTTAAAATTAAGAAATAGTCAAAAAGCAAAAGTTGAGCGCCAGTCGTTGTATATATTAAAAACCCAACAAAAGAATAAGAAGCAAGTTAAATGGAAAAATAAATAAATTAATGAAAATATCCCACAGTGGGGCAAAGGGGGCAAAAATTGATATCCTAAAAACTGAAAATTTGATAATCCAATTTTTTTACAGTATTTCAGCCGAGGTCGAAGCGTCCGAAAAAAAAGTTTTATTACACTACCTCA